ATGTTCTAAGGAGAAAATAGCGCAGTGGGAGATTGGTGTACAAAAAACGAAGAATGCAGATACTATTGCCAATGCGATGCAGCGTATTGCGACATAAGCCGTAATATTTGTCATTATGGGTTAAATACTATGGATACAACTAAAGTTCGTTCCAAACAACATTATATTCCAGAAGATAAAGGTTGTTGTAATGGTGGTGGTGGACTTCCACCTTAAATTATAAACCAAGTTGGATTAAGATCACATAAATTAGTAATTATAAAAAGAATAATTTGATAAGTACACTATTTATAAACAAAAGCTGAAGTAATTGAATTTATTTTGAAAGTCATATATTTTTGACCCAGATCTTCATTTGGATCTATATTTCCGGATGCCATATTTAGAATTAGATGTATAAAATCAGGAGTAATTTTCTTTCGTTGAAAAAAAAGGTGTAATTTTCTTTCCATTTTTTGGCGTGATGAGGCTTATGTTCGACAGTTCGAGTTCGACTAGTGCCATAACGGACCAATTGACGGTTTACCCATTTGTCTATTGCGTTAATAACCGTTAAGTCTGTTCAGATGATGAAAATAAATTATTAAGGAAATTTGTACTAATCAGAACTCAAAATCTTATTTTTACCAAATCTTTTTGTGTCCTGAGTTTCGCTAGCATTCTAGTTTTGGTGAGGTACAAAAAAACAGAATGGTTGGCCAAGTAGAGGAATAAAATTGGTGGAATTAAATATTCCTCTAAATTTTTACCATTTGAGTGGAACAAAATTTGGTGGAGTTGAACATTCCTCTAAATTGTTACCATTTGGGTTGAAATGTTTTGAAAAATGATCCAACTCATTTCACCTAAAAAAATTGGAAACATACACAAAGTTGGAGAAATGTATTCCTCTACAAAATAGTAGAAAAACTAGTGAAACAAAAATATTCATTCAATTTCTTTTTTCCACTCCTTAAATTTTCCAGTAACGTCATTCTACTTTTTCAACCTTTGAAAACCATTTGCACCACAGTAAAGAGGGTATAACTTTTTTCTTGTTACCGTTTTTTCTCTCTAGTGAGAGAATTTAGTGGTACAGAATTTCTTTCGGACATTCTACAACTTAGTTCTCTTAAGGAAAATAAGCAGACAAAAAGGCATAAAAGGTTACATTTCGACCGGAAATCCATTCCCTTGGTTCCAACAAGTGATCTCAAGTATAGCTTAGTCAGGTAATGCAGTTCCTCGTTCCAAGTTGTTTTTGATCTCCAGCGTGTATTTCCCAAACGCACGCTCGATTTTCTTGTTGAAATGCTCGTTTCTGTCATTGATAGAATCGATATCCTTCTCTTCCCGGAACTTTCTCCTCCTGCTAAACTCCTGTCGCTTTTGCTCTCTGTCAAAGAGCTCCTTCGCCATCTTATCAATCTTATCTTTTGAAGTTTTTGGAGCCTGCAAAAGATTAACATACACGATTAAACATATGACTCTTTTTGCTTAAGACTTTAATCTACAGTTGACCATATTGACAAATTACAAACCTTCCCGTACTGCAAGCTTGAGGCCTCGCGGTAAAACTCTGGATCAGCTGCTCTCATTCTGTTATACTCCTCTAGATCAACCTGAATGTTCTTTGTCCGTTTCTTATATGCGTTGTACAACGTCTTCTGGTTGAAGACTGAGGAAAAATAAAGAATTTCACAGATTAGCCTAGCAACAATTGTGATATCATCGATTCGAAACAAATAAATCATAAGAGAGCTCAGTCAAAATTCAGTGAGAATTGCACGTACCATCCCAACCAGAAGGTGTAGGTTCCTTTTCCCATTTTTTGTATTTTGTTTCCGCTGCTTCTTGAGTATCAAGCATATAAGCCTTTGTCATGTCTAAACCATTAGCATCGAGAAGTTTCCCAATCTTTTTCTTCCTCTCCTCCAACCACTTCTGTTTTGAGATGCCTTTTGTCTCTGTTGGTGCTTCCATTTTCTTCTTTTCAGACCCGACATCTGTCTGATTGGATTTCCTTGCTTCATTCTGAAAAAAAGAGTTACATATATGAAACGATCTTATGGACAATGAATTGAGCTAATGACTGTAGACTTACCATCTTAAGTCTCAACTCAAACAATTTCTTCTTCCTCCCAGTAAGTTGGGTCACA